ATCAAAGGCTTTCCGAAAAGAGGGGAAAACGAACCAACCACAGTTACCAACTAATACATCAAATCAACAAACCAACCACAGCTAACAATTACTTCAAGAAGCAGATGGAAAGTAAGTGAAGGAGGCAGACGCAGTCGAGAAGAAAGTGAGTTAAGACTAAAAAAAATTAATTGAAGAAAAAAACCTCGTGTAGCAGAGGCAGTCGAGAAGAAGAGGCTGGGCCTGTTACCGCCGAGACCTGGTGCAGCAGATGCAGTCGAGAAGAAGGTGAGTTAGGGTTCTTTCTTCTTTCTGCTTCCTTCTGCTGCCGCCAAAACTATTACAGTGGAAAACCTAGCCTCTGTCTTGAAGAAGAGGTCAGTGTGATTAAATCAAGTTTGAAATTTATATTTTGACCCCCAACTTTTGTATAAAATTTCGAATTACTACAAAAGTTTCCAGATATTTTCAAAATAAGCCCGCGCCGTATCTTGACTGTATTTAGACCTTATTCTTCGTGTGTATGTATTGTGGGACGTATTGGAGTGGTATCGGGTGGTCAACAACACATAAGGAAAGTCAATGATACTTCGTTTGCCACCCCGGGTGGGTGCGGGGTGGCAAACGAAGTAAATTACAAGCCAAATACAACCCAAATTCAATCATCACATTATCATTATACAAAGTTTCATTTCCAACTAAATGAAAATATAACAAGAAAACATAATTAGAAGAAGAAACAGGTTAAATCTGAATTCACCTAAAAGATATGAAAATAGATTTACCTTTGAGCAGCTTCAGCACAATAGCCAATTAGACCCACCAAATTCTTATGCTTTACTTTACCAATGGCTTCCACTTCCACCTTAAACTCTGTCTCTGCCTGACCCCTGTATGTAACATGGCAAGCATCAATTAAATTTTGAGTTAACAGAAATATTATACAAAGACTAAGTTCAAATCTGAAATTTGCATTCATGGCAAACAAGCAACTGCACTTCATATAATTTCACTTCACATGAAATATTTTCAACATTCATCATGGAGCCACGGCACTGTTTATGACAAAGCAATATTTGGTCAATCAAATATTATAAATTCCATTTTGTAGAAGCAAGTCTAAAGTCAAATTTCATAATATTAATTTCATTATACAACCAATTAGTTATTGATTTAGAGATTCTTTTCCCGAAAACACAAGCCAATTAATCAATATGAATCAATTTGATAAATTTCTAGGGTTGCCATTTTATTTTAATCAAACCTAAATCAATTTGAATCAATTTGATAAATTTCTAGGACTGCCATTTTATTTTAATCAACCCTAAATTAATTTGAACCACAACATATGAATCAAATTAAGAAAGCCTTCAATTCAATATAGTTTGTACAGCTATGCCCATCACTACCCACAGCTTCCAGACCAATATATCCGACAACATGAAAGGATGAATTTGGAATAATAATGCCTACAACTTCATAACAAAGAAAATCAAAAACTCAAATAGTTTATGGTGAATCATACCTGACACTGAGAGAGAGCTAAATAAAATGAAGAGGTGGCTGCGAACTGCTGTGCTGGTTCTGCGAATTGCAGACAAATAGAGTTAGTCAAAGATTCGAAGGGGGAAAAGAGAAAAAAAAAAAAAAAAAAAAAAAAAAAAAAAAAAAAAAAAAAAAAAAAAAAAAAAAAAAAAAAAAAAAAAAAAAAAAAAAAAAAAAAAAAAAAAAAAAAAAAAAAAAATCTGACCTGGCGACTGTGAGAGGTGGCAGCTCAGAGAGAAGCAGAGGCTGAGAGAGGCGCGGTTGAGAGAGAGGTTTGCCTAAGATGAGGTTTTTCTGAGAGAAAGCTTCGGCGGTGCAACGTGGATACGGGAGAAAGAGGATGGCTGAGAGAGGTTTGGCGCAGACAGAGCCTCTATCACACAGGTTTTGGCGGCTGAAGGAGAGAGGAACGAAATTGGAGGAGGAAGGAAAAAAGAAAAACCTAATTAGGTTATAATTTTTGGAAATATATTGATATAATCACGTTACAAATCCTATTCAGATATAATCACTTGGGGACGTGAAATTACCTAAGTGCTCTCCATATAAAAACATATCTATTGTGGAGTTATTGTCCATTGATTGCCGACCTAACACTTCCGACTTCTCTCTCTGTCTCAGCTCTCTCTCACGGTTCTCTCTTCCTCTCTCAGTGATTTCTCTCATCGACCACCACCACTCTCTTTCTCTCTCTGTCGCGAAAACAAAAGCAGCACTCTCTCGTTCTCTCTCTACAGTCAATGTTAGGGTTTGTTGAGGGGGTTCTTGAAGGTGAAAGAGAGGGTTTCTTCGTTAAATGCTCTCTCCCTTCAACAATCTCTCAGTTCCCTCTCTTTTCATGTCTTCAATCGACTTCTTTCTCTTCTCCTCTGCTCCTTCAGGGCCTCAAAAAACCCTAATTCTTGGTTTCAGTTCCGACTTTTTTCACGTACTTCCTCCTCATTCTCAATCCTCTCACAGACAAAATTCGTGCTTTTCTTTAGGTGTTTCTGGGATTTCCAATTCGGTTCTGTGCGTCAAACGAGTGATTCTAAGGTGGGTTTTGTATTTGTTATTGACTAGTTTGTCTTTTTGTATGGTCATTTGAGAAGGATAATTTCACTAATCTGTGACTGATTTTGTGAAGTTTAGTAATTAGAGAGATTGGAAATTTCTGTATTTTAACTGTGAATTAGTTCATTCTTGGATGAACTTCTATTGGTCTGATTGATTTTGCTCTATGGATGACGAAGTGCGTCAATTTGCTATTTGTCATCTAGGATTGTCATCTGTTCTCCTTTTGTTCAGCTTCTGCAGGAATTGAGAACTCGCAAAGTGCCTAAGGTGTCTTTTGTTTATTCGATTACTTTGCATTTCCGTGGTTTTAGTAGAATTGCTATTTGCAAATAACAAAATTCACAAAATTGATATAGATTGCTGATCTCAGAAAATAGGAAGCTACCTTGCCTATGCTTGTTCTTTTTGTGGCTAATCACTTAACTAATATGTTGTCCATTTGAATTTGAATTTATATAGATTGGGTGCATTTGCAGAGTTCGTCTCTGAATTTGACGTGCCTAGTGGTTCAAGTTCAAAGAACAAAGATGCAAGTGTTCTTGAGACTGGTAGGCCTTTTAGCCCTGCCATGTTTGAAAGCGTTCTTAAAAATTTTACTCCAGATGTACCAACTAGCATCTCAGGCAGGCCGAGGTTTGTATGTGATCTGGGTCAATAATTTTCTGTTCTAGGTTTTGTCTTTTTGTATTTTTTATTTCTATGTTGAGCCTTCTTATTGCAAATTTAATCCTTGATGGTATTGCTGGCTGAAATTGTAAGGCACGATCATTGGAAAAAAAATTTAGACACATGCATCTATTTGTAGTCACAAAAGTTGTCCTTCGTTGCCACTATTTTTCTTTTAAATCCCTTATGCACTGTTTCCTTTCTGTCCTCATATTAATATCTTTTCACTATTTCCAAATAAACAAGAAAGGTCAGACATGTAGTGCAATTTTGTTACTTTGTGATTCTCATAAATCTTGTATTGATCGGTAATGGTTTTCCATCAGTATTATTAGGCTTGATTTATAATTCTCATGCTTTACAATTTGTCTGATGGCTTGAAAAAGTGCCACTGCCTGACATAGCTCATGACTAAAATGTACCTGCAGTACAGTGTGTCCACTTAAATTGTTTAGTTTCTGAAAACATGTTACACTTTTTTCCAATTTATTTATCTGTTTGTGGTTTATTACACCTGTTGCAACCCATTTAATGTGAAATAATGGGTTAGACTGAGATATTTTGGAAGTTAACTTGTGATCGGTAAAATGTTGTAACAAATTGGTTAACAATCTTCTGTATTATTCTGAGTTCGCCAATATTTTCATGGACCAAGGAAAGAAGAAACCTAGAACACTTCAAAAAGTTGCATTGTTTAGTTTCTTCTTTATCTAGTGTAAATATTTATGGCAGCATGTCTATTTTCTACTTTCTATTTTAAGTTGCCTAGTGAAACTATTTTTGTTTTTTAGACTAGAAGATGCTCAGGAGTTCCTTAGCTTCATTATGGATCATATGCATGATGAATTACTTAAGCTTGAAGGACAGCCCTCGAGTATTAATGGCCTCAAATCATCTCTAGTATCTTCTGCAGAAGAAGATGAATGGGAGACGGTTGGCCCTAAGAATACATCTGCAGCAACCAGGACACAGAGTTTTGTTCCTTCATAATTAAGCGATATTTTTGGAGGACAATTGATCTTGATCTTGGTTTTTCTTTCTTTTTTCCTGCAGAGGAAAGACGAACTTTTTTTAGAGAAGGGTGGGTGACTATCAAAGAGCATTATGTCAGGCCTCGAAGATGGTGAAATGCTGGATTTGGAATCAAAATTTTGTTACTCTTCTTTGAGCCAGCAATTTGTATATTGTATTTCAAAGGGATATATATAATGCCATAGTCTGACTGAAGTTGTATTAATTTATGCCGAGCCGTCCTTAACTTGGGGTGGCTATCATTATCAGTATAGAATTTTTTAAGGGGAAATGTCTGATATAATCACTTTCTGTTTCTTTCTGCAGTTTTGTCTTGATAATTTCTGTTTCTTTCCCCTTTTTCTTTTCAGATTCCACCAGAAAAAGAAAAGCCTTCAACTTGTTTATTGTATTTTTATTGCTTTTTTATTACTCGTCTATTGTCACTTTATTGCTTGTTTATTCTATTGCTATCGTATTGTTTTTGTATTGCATGTTTGTTACCACTTCATAATCTACATGCCATTACTTTCGTATTGCTTTTGTATTGCTTTTTGGTTGGTTTTCTTAATTAATATAATTTGTTGCAGGGGAAGCAACTATGAGTTTGATTTATAAAAAGGAGGTGACGTCATAAATGGAATCACATTCTTACAATAATAAATAATCAATAAAAAAACAATAATGGAATCACATTCTTACTCCTTAATGGAATCACATTCTTACATCAATAGCTGAACACGAATCAATCATATTGAAGAGATACATATACGGTGCTCGTTGTACCTTATTTATATGATAATGAATAATGATTTGGCATTTTCCTTTACAAAATAAACTTACACAATCAAGCGTTTTCTTTTACAAAATATTCTCATAAGTTCCTTCACAAGATAGACTTGAAAAAACAGGTGATAAGAAACAAATATAACTGAAATAACCAGGCAATACCACAACACTACAATGGCAATATGATGACAATACAAATGCAATAAGGGAGCAATACAATGGCAATACAAAAACTCCACATTCCCACTATATATTCATAATCTACAACATTTTACAAAAAGGACACGACATCCTTAATGGAATCACGTTTTACACTCCTACATAGTCAAAATACTCTCGAGCAAGGAATAGGCGGAGAGGCTTTTGTAAAAGTTGAGGATGTAAAAGATGTTCTTGACTTGAAGGTGGATTTGTTACTAGCCAAAGGCTTCTTAGGAAATTATTTTCCTTTCACAACTCTCCAAGAGCTAATCCGGCAGAGTGACATAGGCATAACTAGTGACACTTGAGTACATTATGAACGCCAGAGAACTCAGATAAATCACCAATATAATTGTCCTTCATAGATTAGGCCTAACTTTATCTCAGCACCTTAACATGTTGGTGACAGGTGGTTTGAGCTCCAACCACTTCGTGAAATTAACCAAAATAAAAACCATTCTCCAAAATTGATACTTTCTCTTCCAAAATTAGAAAACTAACAATTTTGCTAAAGACAATTTTATCTTTTTCTGCATGAGTAAACAGTGCGGATTGAGATGACTGAGATAAAGGTTTAATGATCTTCCTTTATTCAAAAAATAACAAACATATCTGTTTTTGC